CCAAGTGAATCGAGAATAATCATCAATAAAAATAGCATAATAAAGAAAACCCGAATTTGATTTGACGGGAGAAGGACCCCAAAGATCACAATGAATAAGATCTAACACATGAGACGACCTACGTTCATTGCGGGAATAAGGCAATCGATGGCTTTTCGCAAGCTGACAACTATTACATAATGATGGAGAAGGCAATAAAGACGTAAGAGAAAGATGACCTTTTTTATTTAAAAAAGAAATAACAGAATGATTCACATGACCCAGACGAGCATGCCATAAATCATATGAAGCACGTAAAGATTTGTTTTTAAGGGCTGAAATAAAAGCAGAGTTGCCGCGCTCCAGCACATATAGCCCTCCATCTCTTTTACCGGTTGCCACCACCCTTCCTGTTTGATGATTCTGGATAGTAATAAGATTATTAGTAAATGTAACGGAGAGAGGAAAATCAGACGTTAATTTACTTATGGAAAGAAGATTTTTAGTGAGGTGAGGGACAACCAAGACATCTAATAAGTGAATATTTGGAACAGGAGAAAGAGTACCGATGTGGGTAATGGGTAGGGATGCACCGTTTCCTACAATCACAGAGTCCTTACCCGTGTAATTTTTAGACTGATCCAGAATTGATGGGTCGGCAGTCATATGGGCCGAAGCTCCAGTGTCCAAAAACCAATCAGCAGCATCAGGTCCAGCAATAGAACATGACATGTTAAAGGCTTCAGCAAGGTGAGCATGAGAAGAATCAGGTCGAACATACCGTTGGTTGCAGCGGTCAGCATAATGGCCCTCTTTGCGGCATATTTGGCAATGAGGTGGTCGACGACCCTGACTTGAGTGGGTTCGTCCTCGATTAGAAGAGTTGTTTTTGTGAGAATAAGAACGACCTCGCTGGTTGGTAAAGGAAGCAGGGTGACTTTCATGGGTGCGGCCACGATTAGTGGCTATGAATGCTGTAGGAGTGGAGTCAGAGGACTCAAGGGAGCGCTGGAACAACTCAAAACTTTCAGTTTTAGAGACTAGATCTGCAAAACAGGGGATAGGGGTGAGAGCCATCTGAGCAGTAGAAAAAGCTGAAAATTCGGTGCCGAGTCCACGAAGGAACCAATGCACTTTATCAATGTCCTCGACGGGTCTGCCAATGGCATGAAGTTGGTCACAAATTTTTTTGAAGGCACGGGCATACTCAGCAACAGGTTTTGTGCCACGTTTCATCAACTGCAAGTCATCCTTGAGTCTCAGTTCACGAGCTTTTGACTGATGGCTGTACGTAGTTTCCAACGCAAGCCAAACATCACGTGCAGTAGAGAGACCAACGACAACAGCCATGGCTTCCTCAGTGAGAGAGGAGAGCAGGAGACAGAGAAGTCGTTGATCGGCTGCTCTCCATGCCAAATATTTGGGGTTGAATGTTGAGGAGGTTTCTGGTTCAAAGCGAGGTGGTGGAACCATAGTTCCATCGACATAGCCCAGCATGTCTTGACTCTCAAGAAGAGGGAGAAGTTGGCTTTTCCAAAGAAGATAATTGGAGGAAGAAAGTTTGATGGTGATCATATGGATTAGAGTATTGAAAGGAAGAAGATGATAACAAGATTCGGAAGCCACAGAGAAGAAAGGATCAGGGTTGTTAAACCGAAAGGGCTCTGATACCATGTGAATGTTTGATTAATCCACCACACCCAAATGGTGGTGAGAGTTCTCTTATTTATAATCATTTACAGAATACAGAAATAAGGTAAATTACAAATAATAAGGAAATAGCGATAAAAGGAAAGAATAATAAATGAATACAATATATTTGCATTTAGTAAAAGAGAAAATATGGTAACCCGTAATGTAAGGCAAATATCTAGATATTTGCCTTAATGAACGGTCAACTATCCTTAACAGAACAACAATTCAAAGACAGAGAATGGAGAGGGACATCACGTGACCCATTTGTTGGAAGGCAGAAGCAACGGCATAAGCCACATTGAGGAATGAGGAGCAAGTATGGTGCGATTTTGAGTCGGATGGTGGTGTCATCTTTGAATATCAGCCGTGTAGCAGTTTGCACTTGCAGGGGCTAAGTTTCTGGGGATGAGAGGATTCCAGAGCAAACTAGGCTACATCCACTTAGAACTAAACCTTGTGTAGCAGTCTGCAGTGCCTAAATTTGCAGGGATGACCAAGGATTCTAGAGTTAACTGAAGAGTGGCTCACAAATATTGGTCTTAATACTGCTAGATCCGGTTATATTACTATCAGATTGGCTCCCCGAACAATTTGAATTCTAGGTGCGATCTTTCCACGGCTTTACATCTTCACAAAGATACTGTATTCTCAGCTCATCGGTTTAGCTAACTGCTTGACATTAAAGATTGCCAATTAGAGTTGGTTAATATGAACTAATCCTAGAACCTGGAGACTTGTTATTTGCTTTGTAACACTTTTGCTATGAATCCGAGTTCCCATAGTAGCTGCATTCAAGAGTTTGGCATGGACAAAGCAAGTAGTATGTTTAAATCCCTTGTTTGTGCATTTACAAAAGAAACAAACAGAAGAAAAAATGGACGTTCAACGCTTTCAGATGCATCAGTGCATTAAAGAAATAATGCAACCAGCTTAATTCCTGGTATCTCTTAGGAACGTGATTGTTATCATTTTGAAAGAAGGAAGCCATCCGCAAGATCAGAACTGATCCCCAGTCATGCAGTGGCAGTTTTTAGTATATTTTGAATTATTGTATAGTTGCTTCTTCCCAAAGCCCATTCACACAGTCCAAATGTATTATCGATTATTTTAGATGGTTGTCCCAATATTTAGCATTCTAGTTACTTGTTAACAGAGGGAAAGAGTCCAAAAATGAGCTGTTAATGGGAAACAAAATGACCGAAGATTTGGTACTCCAAAGTCGAGAGCAAAACTTACCATAACTGAGAATGTCGCAGAAACAAAAATTACAACAATTCCAACTCCTAAGGAGTGTTAAGCAAATAGTTCTGAGCATAAATGCACCCAAAAATAAATAAAAACATAAACTTTTGCATAGGTTTCCTCTCTCGAAATCAATGGTCTACTTGATCTTCTTCTTTGGCCTCAACTGCAAGTCAATGATGAACCAAAAAAGGTTTTATAAGTAGTGGCAGCAAGATTTACAGATTTATCAGAAAATTACACCAGGAAACAATAAATTACCTGGTTGCTGTGTCCACACTTCTTTTTCCTGCAGTTGACAGCACGAGGGTGCAGGCGGGCATAGCACCTGTTGTAATACAATTGTACGTGAGCAACCTTTGATAATGATTAAGAAAGCCACCACAAACGTATGTATATAAATTCTAACTCTAGTGCAACGTTTTGGCTTCTAAAGACATAGGATGTTCATAAACTTATTTGGAAATTGAACTAATGCTAAAGAAATTAAAACAGAAAAGGTATGGATAACCACCCAACACATCCATCTCCGAGTATAATTTTAATTGCAAGACAAAACCACAAACCCCTCCATCTTGAAGAACCGATTGGAACATCTTTTATATAAATAATGATAAGTATAGAAGCTTACTTGCGGCAGATCATCTTGTCCTGATTGTACTTCCTAGCCAAAGCCATCAAAGAGGGCTCGATTATACCACCACGAAGCCTGAGCACCAAGTGCAGAGTTGACTCTACAAGAGAAAAATGATGGCAATGAGATGCAATTTTCACCTTCTAGAACACTGCACTAATCTAAGTCATCAAGAGGCGTTTATAATTAAATCCCTAAATTTTGGAATAAATCATTGTTTAGAGACATTTTAATACCAAAATATCCTATTCGCAAAATTATATAACTGGAAAGTATGAACTAACTCAAATTCTTTATTTTCTTCGCAACCAAAGTAGATAGCTGCAAGTTTGAAAACATTTTCAGATGGTAATTGAGCACATCCTAGCTCATTACAAGAATCAGAAAGTGCATCTTGACGATGTCAGAACGGAAACTCCACACCCAGTTTCGATTCTCACAGATGTCACATGACATACAAAACGCTAATCAACAAGCAAAGCATGTATTCAAATTAAAACCAAGACGGTCGCAAAAGAAGATTTACAGATAAACCAAACCCAGTGGCTGAGATTACCTAATCAACAAACAATTCGCTATTTTCTCAAATTTTATTAGCACGATTAATTTTTCTAAATAGGAAAGAGAATACAATGAAAGGCATAGCACCAACCCTTCTGGATGTTGTAGTCGGCGAGAGTTCGCCCATCCTCAAGCTGCTTCCCAGCGAAGATAAGCCTCTGCTGGTCCGGAGGAATACCTGAAACATGCACCGGGAATCATTAAAGTCCAAAACACATGCATTAAGAACGATGAAAAGAATAAGAAGAAATATTGCTTGAAAAAGCAGATAATTTAGAAAAAAAAAAATCGAACCTTCCTTGTCCTGGATCTTAGCTTTGACATTGTCGATGGTATCGCTGGACTCAACTTCCAACGTAATCGTCTTCCCAGTAAGGGTTTTGACGAAGATCTGCATCCTGTCGTGTCGTCGTTAAGGCTCTCTCTGGTTTGCAACTCTGCCTTTGCGACACTGACCTCCTCGTAGGAATGTCGATTATAAGCCTTATTTATACGGTTTTGAATTAGGGTTTTGTAGGGATGGGTGTTCGGGTGCAGGATTACCGTATCCCAATTATGTCTGATTCTCTCATCTTTGGGCATGCAGTTCACAAATCTAAGCCCAAATCAAAGTCATCAAGAGGCCACGTTGAGGATGCAAAATGGGCTCCGTTGGCCCAACCTCGGGATAATTTCAGCCCAGTGTTGACGAGTTAAATGCTAAAGTAACAAAGGAATTAAAAAAAAAATATATTTTTAATGATTAATTTGTTAATTAAATGAATGTTTAGGACGTTGATTTGCAAAGATGATTGAAATAGAAAATTTGGGAGGTTAGGGGATGAGGTGGCAGTGTTATAAGCAATTATCCGTGAAGATGAGCAAAAGAAAGGGTTTAAAGGTAAAAAAGTGGGGGCAGGGATGAGACACTTGACGGAGTAATCCACTTCTGAGTGTTTCTTCTTCTTCGTCTTCGTCTTCGTCTTCGTCTTCTTCTTCTTCTTCTTCTTCTCTCTCCTCCTTTTCTGCATCTAGAGAGAGACAAAGCGGCATATAGAAAAGGAACTTGCTCTCCTTCCCTTCTCGTACGTGGAAAAAGCCAACTCCATGCTCTTGGCCCCCAACCATACTTCAAGCCTCTCTTAGATTCATTCTCCTAAAGGATAACCCATTGCCAGCGAAGCTCCGATCTGCATCTTCTTCCCCTCTATGATCGCCTCCGGCACCGACATCGCCCGCTCCTTCGGCGTCGGCGGCGGCTTCGTCTCCCGGATGATGGCGGGGGCACGGCCGAATGCAGCCGTCGCGGTCACGGCCTTGGCGGGCCTCGCTGTGGTCGTCGTTCTCTTCTACTCTGCCAGTAGGTAAAACCCATAGCAATCTTTTCTTCCCACAATTTCACATTCATCTCTAAGGGGCCACAAAGAAGGGGGTTCATTCGCTAGTAAAGAGGGAAATTTACCCAACCCCAATTCCTTTACGCCCACTAGTCAATTTTCCATAGATGAGAGCTCTTAAACAAACTCCAACTCCATCGTCTCCGGATCCGAATTCCAATTCTCCTCCTTCTTCATCTTCCTTGTCGTCAGCCTCGTCGTCATGGGTTCATTTGCGTTCGGTTCTATTCGTTGTCACTTCTTCTTCACCGGCTTCTTCTTCCTCCTCTGATCGGTGAGTCTCTCCTTCCTTCTTCCTCTTTTGCTTCCCATTTCTCTTATTTAGCTCAAAATTAAGCATAAACCTAGTTTTCGACAGGGATCTTGGCCATTTCGGGTTTTGGTCGTTTTTCTAGGGTTGATCTTTTGCTCAATCTAGGTGTTTAGGTCGTCTCAGTACCATGTCTCCTTTACATTTCTGGAGTATCTAGTTTCCTTCACAATTATGTTCCTTTCTTACATTGTGAAGTTACTATCTAGATCTCCAGTTTGCTTCGGTTATTCAGAGTACTTCATCATTTTAGTCATCTTTTTATTTTTCAGCTGTAACTGGTGAATTATTAGTGTCATTATCCTCCTTAGAAGGAGGTGTACATATATAGGTAATTGTGTATCGTGCTGAGGGTATTCCATTTCATTGGATAAATTTAAAAATGAATTGACTTCGCTGTATTAACCATGTCTTAGGGGACGCCTTAAATCGCCTTGGTCACGCAAGAAAAGAAAGCACGCACTTTCACCGCAACAATGGAGGAGTTTGTATACGCCAGATGGGAAACTTCGAGATGGCGGCCTTAAGTTTTTAAAAAAAGTTCGGAGTGGAGTGAGTATAAATCACTTCGTCTCGTGCATTTTCTATCCAGCGTTGAATAAGTTTCTTCTTTCATAACTTTGAGGTACTTACCCATTAGATTTTGATCTGATGATGTCTACCAGGGTGTAGATCCAAGTATTAGAGCAGAGGTCTGGCCATTCCTTCTTGGAGTGTAAGTGAATCCCCGGCCCCCTTCTTTTCGTGATCTTGCATATGCTTGTTCACTTGTTTTATGTACAAAATATTTTAGTTCTTCAGTCCATGAGGGATTTGGCTAGAATGCTGATTCTTCTGGTTCCTATCAAGTGCATCATCTTAACACAAATATATGAGCTATTTTAATTCAGAACCTCAGATTGTGTGACCAATGTAATCTTAATGAGCTTGAAAATATCTAGGCTGGTTTGTTGATCTTTTCCAAAGTTTCCCTCTCTAAAGGTTTTGGAGTTAAAAGCATAAATCTCTTGCTCTTGGGTCTTGTGTATAGATTTGAATGGTCTTCTCTACATTGCTCTTTTATCCTTACAATCATTGTTTGTGGGCAAGAAAGGAGTGATTTGATGCACAAGTTTCTTTCTATCTAGTTCATTATTTATTTATTTATTTATTTTATTTTTTGATCAATAACCGAGCTTTCATTGATGGAAAAAATAAAGAATCATAAGGGAATACAAAAGGAGAGTCCACAAAGGGAAAAATACCACAAGTAGGGTCTCAAGTCAAGCAAAATAAGACCTGAAAGTTAATTGTAAAAAGGTTTTGCCACCAAAGCCCAAAGATAAACATAAACTTTAACAAGGGACCAACGGTGATCTCTAAAGTCCTCAAAAAATTCTACTGTACCTCTCTCCTCAAAGTTAGAACACATCCCAACTTGCCACAAAAACTTTCCTTTCTTGGAAAAAAAAAAAGATGAAGAAGGAACTCCTTGATCATCTCTTCTTGCTTAGCCAAAACGTGTCTATCTAGTTCATTATTATTGCTATTATACCATCATCATGATTTTTAAGATCTCATCCTCTTCTTATTGCATATCCGTGCCAGTTAGATGTCTCTTGGAGATTCACCCCTATTTAGCATCCCTTTCTCATACTAAGCACTACACATCCGATCTGTATTTTATAATAGCAATGAGTCTCATGCCCCAATATACATAGAAGGTTGTCCTGGCATGTCTGCAATTCTGAAGTATAATGAAGGTTGGAAGTTCTGCTTGTTGTTCACACGATCACGATGTCTTGGAATCGATGATCTACGATAATTGGAGAGGCTATGCTACATAGGTTTATATCATGCAAACATTGAAGGGTGTAGGGCCATTCCTGCATAAGAAAAAAAGATACTGCATTCTGATGCGTCTTCCCACCACCATAACCTCTTTCTCTTTTGCATGTGGTCATCTTATATTTTGTTCACTTTTTATTCAAGACATTTGTAACGACCCAATTTTCGGTATCACGAACCACAAATATTTTGTTCACTTTTTATTCAAGACATTTGGAACTACCCAATCTTCGGTATCACAGATCTCCACATACACTCAAGGGTAAAAAGGGCAGTAAAATTTTCTTTTGTAAAACGGGAGACTCAAGGAATTTAAAATTTAAATATGCATTCAAAACCGACAAAAGAAAGAAAATATTCGAGCAATAGCATTTAAAATAATAATGAAATGACAAGAAAGAAGATGACTCGATTTGAAGGGCACCCCCTGCAGGTGCACGGCTCCGCACGCTCCTGTCATCAATAGTGGTCTACACTCCATCTAGAAAAAAATAGAATAACATGGGATGAGTATCAAATACTCAGTAACCAACCTACTTGTAGGCTCTTGTCAGACTTAATCCTACATACAGAAACATGGTTATGTGCTCATAACGGTGCATAGCGTTTGCCAAACTGTGGCTTAACGTCTATACCAAATTTTGTAGGTCGCTGTGTAACTAACTTTCAGCATACCTCCTTTAAGGAGTACTCAATCCCTCTCAGGTTCACAACCTAGGGTTTTTTTGTTTCCTCTTGGCTCAAGGTTTCATCTATGTCTAGGTCCTTCTTCAGTCTTGCGCAAAGTGCGCCTCGAGTCGTTTGGCCCATGGAAAGGCCCTAAGGTAGTACTCATAAGTCTAAGAGGAACTCTTTTTGCTCTGAACGGTGACCGTACTCCATACATGTCTACCTACTGAGCTTTAATCAGTGGATTCTCCTTGGTGGTGCCAGCAACATTTACCTGTTCCTACGATTAGTAAACTACATGTCACTATGCCCTTTCTAGGCTGGAACAGTAAACTACCTGCTCATGTACTCTCATTGAGTTAAACAGTAAAAGTACCTGCTCATGTACCCTCATCGGGTTAGAATAGTAAAACTACTTGTCACTACGCCACTTAGGCTGGAACAGTAAAAAGACTAGGACTCTCCCCACTAGCCACCACTGTAAGTACTTCAGTAGTATACTCTCTATGACTCTCGAAATCCTCTATGGGTGACAACTAAGTCATGTGTAACAAGTAGACCCTAACCACTGTTGGTTAGTTCTCAAATAGGGGTTGTACCCTATCCGTTCCTACAAGGTACCTAGTCAACCGAAGGAGGCTATGGAACTCATGACTAAGTACTAGGACCAAAATACATGAAACAGTAACTCATAGTCTATGGATACCACGACTAGCCAGCACTCTATGGCACATAACAATAGTCAAATTCATTACTGGGCAATAACTGGTTATCCAAACACTAAATCATGCATAATAAACGTATGAAGGCATACAACATGTCAGTCATGCTCATGAAGTGATGATGATCAAACTTCAACAATCTGGAAAACATAAAAGCCTAATGATCTATCTGAGTTCACAAACCATGCGAGCGGAAGCTGTATAAATGTAAGTAGGACTAAGTTGTAAACTTTTCACATTATCTAAGCAAAGTTATAATAAGACTAGGTCGAACTAGACTCCTAAACATATAACTCAATCATTGTCCTCAATCCTAATCGACTTGCTCCGTATGGTTACTTAGTTGATTGTATACTTCCTGAGCTTGTTTCGAGTCTTCGAGGATATTCCAAATTTCTCAAAAATTCCTCAATATGTCCTAAATTAAATAAAAAGAATAACACTAGTGAAATTGACTAGCTTCAAATTTGTTAAAAAAGAAAGGAATGTGGGTCAAGAAACTAACAGTTGACTGTATGGTCATCTTCTCCAACTTGCGTGCTTTCCATTGTGCTTTCCTTCCTTCTTTTTTTATTTTTATTTTTTATCTTTTTAGAAAAAAGATCTTTTATTTATTTTCTACATTTCTTTTATGGTCTTTTAGGCTGGGTTTCGTCTACACCTGCCCCTAGGTTGTTTGCCTTTTTTGTCGTAATACATTCACCATTTCTTACCAAAAGAAAAAACTGTATACATATTTTGTTAACTTTTCTATAGGATTAGTCATAGCGAGACCCTCATTTTGAAGATTCATGTCATGCTATATATGCCTGCTGTACTACTGTGCTATGTGTTTGTGATGCTTGGTATTGTTCAACATCGTGCTGTGTGCAAAATGTGTATTGACATGACTACTAATGTTTTCAACAGCTATGACTTGACCAGTTCTGAAGAAGAAAGAGATGCTGTAAGAGTACAGAAGAGGTATATGTCAAGTGCTAATATTATTTAATTCTATTTTTCTTTGATAAGTTGGTGGGGGGTATTTTACCCACCTATAGCTGTGCTCTGAGTTGGCCGTTTAAACTTTAAGGTGGAACATATATAATGCAGGAAAGAATATGAAAGGCTTCGCAAACAATGCCGATCTTTACTGAAGTTTGGGGATGAGAGTATGAAGTTGAATGATGATGATATGAACTGCCACAAGGAGGGGGGCATTCAGCATGCTGCTCATGGTGATGGCTCTTCAATGAACTGCAACAAGGAGGGGGACAATCAGCATGTTGCTCATGGTGATGACTCTTCAATGAACTGCAACAAGGAGGGGGACAATCAGCATGTTGCTCATGGTGATGACTCTTCAATGAACTGCAACAAGGAGGGGGACAATCAGCATGTTGCTCATGGTGATGACTCTCCTAGTTTGGGAGATGTGATAAGTGCTAGAGAATCAATTTCTAGTGATGAAAGGGGTTTAAACTCGGGGGTTTTGTTGGAAGAGGATGACAGTTCTAGAGGGATGACAAATGCTGATTCTTCTGTTCTAAATACTGAATCATCTGACTCAGATTCGTCTGGGGATCCTGAAGTTAGTCATACATTCCCTTCCTCTGATGGTAGAGAAGATAATGATCCTGATTTCACCTCCAAAAATTTGTCTCCCTTGGTTGAGGTTACATCCAAATTTCGCAGTAATGAAGACTTTACAACATGGCAGCGGATCATCCGTCTTGATGCAGTACGTGCAAATGCAGAATGGATAGCATATGCACCATCCCAAGCAGCAGTATCGGATGATAAGGCTAGGCATTTGGCTGAGGTTGTTGGTTTGAAAGATTACGATCACCTAGAGTCATCCAGGATCTTTCATGCTTCTAGGTTGGTCACCATTCTTGAAGCATATGCTCTTTATGATCCTGAAATTGGGTATTGCCAAGGAATGAGTGATTTGCTTTCTCCTATAATTACCGTGATAACTGAAGATCATGAGGCATTCTGGTGCTTTGTAGGGTTCATGCGGAAAGCTCGGCATAATTTTAGGCTTGATGAGGTTGGGATTCGAAAGCAACTGAACATTGTATCTAGGATCATCAAGTTCAAGGACTCCCACCTTTACAGACACCTGCAAAATCTCGAAGCGGAGGATTGCTTTTTTGTTTATAGGATGGTTGTGGTACTCTTTAGAAGGGAATTGACATTTGAACAGACACTGTGCCTATGGGAGGTGATGTGGGCTGATCAGGCAGCTATTAGAGCTGGTGTAGGTAAATCAGCTTGGAGCAGGATTAGGCAACGAGCCCCACCCACGGAGGATCTGCTGCTCTACGCAATTGCTGCCTCGGTATTGCAGAAGAGAAAGTTGATTATAGAGAGATACAACAGCATGGACGAAATAATAAGGGAGTGTAACAGTATGGCCGGGCAACTTGATGTATGGAAACTATTGGACGGTGCTCATGATTTGGTGGTGACCCTCCATGAGAAGATAGAAACCTCGATTTAACGAGTAAATGCCCAATTGTTGGGTTGTTAGTTTACGTGCCATTCTTCCTGGACCCGTATCTAGGCTTCTGCTTGGAGAAAGTGCAGCTCTCTTGGCTCTTATTCAAGGGGGTAGCCAGATGTTTCTTTTGCTCACATTCTTGTAGCTCACTCAAAGCTCACTCAAGTTGTAGTGACGGATTTTAATGATGAATCACTATAATTTGCATAACATTGCATCCTCACCTTGATCTGTTTCAGAGTGGCTGCATAATAGCTGAAAATGGGAGTAGCCTATCGACAAGCACGAGAATGAATTTTGAAAAAGTAGAAAATATCAGGTCATTTGTGTACGTTTAGCTGGAGTAATAACTTCTGGTCTACATTGTTGGTTGTTTTTTTGTGAACTTGGTTCATGTAATCTGTTTCCAGTTAACCAAAGTCTATATGCAAGAATTTTAGTCGAATCTTTCCGGGATCAGATCTCTTAGTTCCTACCAAATATCTTGCAAAAATAAAAAAGTGTTTTGGATCTGGGTCATCAATGAAAGAGATGCCCAGAAGAAGCTCTGAACTCGTTCATGGGGTTTTGTTGAGCGTAGTCATAATGTTGAGCTTAATAATATCTGTTGATCCGAGCATCATATATGTTGTGATGAGTGGGAAAGATCAACTTGGGGATGTCCAAGTACATTGAGTTAATTATGCTAAGCAGGCTGAACTTTGCAAAAAACACGTTATTCGTGTGGGTCCAGCATTGTTATTTAGAGGTTGATGTCGAAGCAAGTTGAGAAACGTTGGAGATTTTCATTTACTGATGAAACACAGGGAAAAAGGATCTTGCTCCACCAACATTGGGTCAGTGCCTTCACACTCAAGTATTTGGTTAGCGAGTAGGAAAATGAACTGACATGAGCCTTAAATCAACGGTGAGTTGTTCCATCAACTGGGAAGGTGTTCTCTGCTTCTATTTACTTGAACTTGTTGTCCATTTGCTGAATTGTCCAAGCTTTATTCCTAAATCTAGTTTCTAGCCTTCGAGGAGAAGTTCCATCTTGTTATTCTTCAAACTGATCATCTCCGGGTGTACATTCAACCCGACAATTCAACAACCCGGATCAACCCAATCCGAACTATAAGGGTTGGGTTGGATTAACATTTCGGGTAGGGTTGAGTTCATTTTTCTGAAAATTCTAAAGTGTAATATATTTATTATTTATTTGTTGCAACATTATTATATATCACAATTTATATATAATTATATTTTTCTAATAGTTTAAGGTAGGGTATAAATAAGCCTATTTTAATTAAAATATTATTATTATATTATATATATATATATATATATATATATATATATATATTTTTTTTTTATTATATATAATACTCTTAAACTAATTATTTTTATTGTTTACGTGATATATCCTTATATTTTTGTTATTTTAACTAATTTTTTTAAAAAATATCGGTATTTAATTGTCTTTAGTTTTATGACAATGTTGAACAATTTTCGTTCGTTGTTTATTTGTGTTTGTTTGTGAATTTTAATATATTTTAGATTGTATTAAAATAATTATAAATTGTGGATAAATAAAACTTAAAATTTGACAACCCAACCATTTTGGGGTTGGGCTAGGTCGTGAAAAGTTTCGGGTTGTTTACCCATCCAACCAACCCGAACTTTTGGGTTGGGTCGAAAAAATTCTCCCACCCAACTCGGACCATGTACACCCCTAGTATAACTTGAAATTAAATTATGTTTCAATTTATAAATTAAATTATATTTCAATACCTTAACTATGCTCAGAAGTTCGTTTCTTTCGCTTCATAGGGATCAATTTTGTTGGCTCTACCTCTTTGCCTTTGGCATCCAAGGTAAGTTGCGAGTTTTCTACAGGAATTTGGTTGAGATTTTCTGTTTGACTCTATTCAGTATTCATCATTTAAACATTTTTGAAGAGAGGTTGACAAAGTATATGAGTCATACCCTTCTGTGTCTTGTTGTTGCACTTCGCCGCTTCTTAAAATGTGAGCCTTAGAATTATTGCCACTTCTTGAAGTGTGTGAGACAGAGCCTTCGAATTTAAAGCCATTCAAACGAAAAAGAAATCTGTCGAAAAAAACACGGCAAGCCATTGTCATCCACCGCATCTTATGTCGTTATGTCTTATCTATGCTAAGTATTTGGTTGCTCACACGCGGTCAAGGATCCCTTACCCACCTTACTCTTTTCTTTAGTTTAAGAGTATGAGATTAGTCTGCATCATTGTAATCGACATGCTTTTCAAAAAGCTTCTTCCAATAAAATCAATGAAATAACCAATTCAACATATCAATGTTTTTAATTACTGAAGCTGAACATCAGTTGATTGACATAAATTCATTTCATTTTCTAAACGTCTCCATTGCTGCGAACTTACCATTTGGCTGCGTTCCATCTGTTCAGTGATAGTCTTGCCATAGTAACCCCGCAGTTTCCCCTTCCACAATGAGTTGCCTTCATGAAGTTCACGCTCTTTTCCCCTTGACATCAAAATAAACAGATTTTAGTCTAGGAGTATACAAATTACCATTGCATACCAATTTACCAACATAAATGAAATGTCTTTGATCCAGTGATGATGATTCATGCACTGAAGAACTCAACGACAACAGGTCAATCAGATATGGTGGGCACTGTGGAACCATGTTACTATGTGAATGACTGATTTTAAAATAAATTTGTTTAGTAGAGGAGGATAACACTTTGCAACAGTGTTATGAGAATGCAAGCCAATATTAAGGTGAAGAATATGTTTTGTTGATGCAGTTTGATTCAATTCGTCCATAAAATATTTTATTAAGCTTTAACTAATACAGGCGGATACAACAAGAGTTTGCAGCTTCTCTACATCTTGAGTTATGCATAAAATTCTATCTATACTACAAAGTTTATATCTAATACTCTCTTTCTAGATTCAACTTTTACTGGAAGGGAAAAAGCTCATGCAGATTGGGGGATGGACCTTAGCCAAGGCAAGAATTGATGAAGGAAGAATCCATAAACCTTCTCCACATATCAAACCAGAGGCAACGGCTGGAACCATCAATCCTGCCTTTTGACTATTTAGATAGTGCCACACGAACACGATCAAGCTACCAATGCACATATCAATTGCGAAATATGCACCAACAAGGAAAGGCACAGCCATGGCCATCGGTAGTGGGATCCATTTACCAAACTTTTCAGGGATACAATCTCTCATCAAGTTGGCTGCTATGGCAAAGCCGAAGAACCCATAACATAGCTGCAAGCAATGCTGGGGCAGAGCTGAGAAGCCTTCAACTCCTAGGATAGCCATGTTTCTGTATATGATGGCATACGGGACCTTATATTCACCATCTGGGTCGGCCAAATCAAAAGCCTTGTAGAATATAAAGAATGTGAGAGGAGCTACAATGCAGCCTAGCGCTGTCCCAATAGCTTGGCTTACAAGCATGGATCTTGGAGATGTGAGTGTGAGATGGCCAGTCTTGAAATCATGCATCAAATCAGAGGAGATGGAAACAATAGACTTAATCAAACCACATCCCACAAGTCCTGCAACTACACCATCATTTTTACCAGCCATGGCAGCAAGCACGAACAGAGCCACTTTTCCGTAGTTATATGCCATATTCATGTCAGTTAGACCAGCACCATATGCATTGCAAAAGCTAAGAGAAGGTGCCAAAGTATAGGCAACAGCTATGTAATACCACTTCACCTCCGGGAACATGATCGGGATTACGATGATAGAGACGATGGAGAAGCAGACGTACCCTATAACTGCCACCCATATTGGAATACCATCTCTTAAGAATACTTCATTTCGTCGATGATCATCAAAAGTTCGAACCAGGTTGTCATCCGGGACTGCATACATGTACGCACTATGTCATAATTAATTAAATGAAACTTGGAAAATTGCACATCTGCTACTATCCCCCGACACAAGTTGCAGCATTATGCACTGTGCTAGTGGACAGTGCTGCAAGTGGTGAGAGGTAACTTAGCTTCACGCTAAGATTGAGCAGACAAATTGAAGGAAACAACATATAGAATCATCATTTTACATGTTTTGAGCTTCTTGTTGGTTGCTTTTGCATACATGCTCGAGGCAGTGAAATACAGAATCTTAAGGAAATGATAAAGCCCATCTCCAAGTATCAGAGCAATTGATACAAACACCTGTACCAAACAAGGGAACAAGAAAAATAATTCAGCATAGACTTCAATAATGATGTCCATGATGTCACAGAAACGCCCCCTTTCCTACTTTGTACCTTGTAACCATTGAGACTTTTCATACTGCTCTGTGGAAGAGATCCAGGATACCATTCCCCTTTAAGTTCCTCCATTAAGGGCCACATTATGCCCCAAGAAAGAACCGCACCGAGAAGCAACGACAAGTTCACAATATGGGAGCATATCATCCCTGCTCCAATATAAGTCAAGCTGAAATCAAAGTAGAACCTGCAAAATACTTGGGCAGTCAGTTTGAGGGAGAAAAACCAATTCCAAGTATGGAGAAAGAAGACGCAAAGGGGCAAGATGTTGAGCACCCACGAATTTTTCCAAGCTTTCAATCCAAATGTAGGAAACTGTGAGAATCCACATTTGTCTCCCCCAGAATAAAACCATTGAAAAAGAGCCCAGAGAAAACTGAATGAAAAGTACTTCATGAATCCATGAACCTGCTTCCTGGTATTAAAAAAAAAAGAAAAAAAGCAGTTCTTTTGAGTTGATTTCAACTCAAGTTCCGTACAATTAAGTTTTAAAGATTATACTTTGGTTTGGAGAAGATGGGGGGATTGCATACTTCGCCATCTTGTCTCCTTTTGGTGTGTGGAAACCATTTATGAGAACAGCAGTTGCAGTTCCACTGGGATAAGCCAACTTATAATCTAGTATCATGATCTGCAATACAATTCAAGATGACATTGGCATTAATAAACCATACAAACATCTCTGGCATCAAGGAGAACAGACACCATCAGTTTGGAGCGCGAGGCCTGCAGAGCTTCCTTCTACCAGAAAGAAATATTACCTTTCTTAGGGGCACCAAGGCAAGAAGTCCTACAAAACTGCTGACGGAGAGGAAGGCAGTCATCCAACCAATTCCAGGTTCTTTGGTACTTCCAGGAGGATTTCCTTCTGTGTTTATGCCTGCTTGCTCGTATGTCTTCCTGCTCAAACCAAACAAGTAGGATCCAAAGCCGCCTGCAAAACCACAACATGAACATCAAACGCAGAAACAAAGCATATTTCCATGGAAAACATTTGGGTAGCACACAGCTCTCTGACCTCCAACAGCAATGCTATAACAAGCGACAGCACATGTCTGAATTACAGTATTTTCCTGTCGTGTAAAGGGAGTGGATACAATTCCAGCTTTCTCAAGCAGCGTAGTCCATGTCTTTATAAAGACGTAGGCAATAAGAGCAGCCGAGACGTTCAAATTTGGGACCAAACCTGTTGTAAGATTAAGCTTCATCACTATTACACTGTACATGATTCCTATTGCTATGCTTGCAATAACACCCCGGACTGTAATCTGTCTAGTCCAAGGTGCCAGTTTTTTTATATCCTCCGCCTCATCTCTAGTCTTCTCTTCGTCTACAGTTTCAGCACTCTCAATTTCTTGCACTTCGAGGCTCGAGTTCCTCATTTGAACAACCAAATTGTTCAATCCAATCCGATTCAGGTATCTACAATCTTCATCGTTTCAAGCAAGTAACGTCTAAATATAGTTCAATACCAGATGATAATAAAGGCAACAAATTCAACCCCACAAAGGAACATACCGTAGTTTCAGGCTTCTTGTTCTTCAGGATGAAAATTCAAAAGTTTTGACTTGGGGGGCTGTTTTCCTTTTTGTTGAACAAGATACTGAATCAGGATTCAGCCCAGGGAAACACGGAGGCAAATGGCTGATGACTGCCCTCCTTCAAACATCGATTTTCTACCTTCAGGTCCTCTATGCTGCTTTGACTCCCGATTATATTCCAAAGGGGATCTTCAAAACTCCTCAGTCTCTCACAACTCCACCAACCACCCCAATGACATTACGCGGCACAAAAACAGGAAGCCCCAATTTTCTTATATTGAGTGGGAATTCAAGATCCTACCAAACCGGGCCAAAATGTTTTGTACTGCATGGAAGTACAATAACCCGATTTGGTACTACACAGCTACAACTTCAATTTGAAAGCTCAAAAGTACTTTTTTTTTTTTTTTCTACCGTTTCGTTTTCCACATGCCGGTTGAAATTCCAATGAGCAATCGAAAGTTGACTTCGCTCAGCTCTGAAAAGGACGAGAGCCGAGCAGATTGCGCCCAATAAGTCAACAGTGAGAAGCGTTGAACTTCGTCGCGAAAAGGGAAAAAAGGGAAAAGGGGAAATGAAAAAAGGAGTTGGGTGTTCGAGATTGAGGGCTACAGCACGCAATTTAATATCAAAAACTTAAAAGACAGATAATGAAGGGATGGTTGATCATAAATTAGCTTCAACGAACAACAATTAACAATATTCAAACCTCATCTGTTAGTAGGAAGAGCGAAGGTTGGTTGGTGATCCGAGAATGGAAAGGCTTCGGATTTTATTCAGCTGTCACGTGGGAACCACGCGACTTTGGTTCAACCAATTTCATTGCCATCAACGCTATTGTTTATTTCTACGACTCTACCTCTTTTTTCTTTTTGTTTTTTTTTGGGTGAAAAAGGGAAAAAGATCCGTCTTTTTTGAGACAGAAAGGAGCGTGAAGTAATCAGAATCCCAATCACTTCCCTTATCTGCATCATATTGATGCTCTCTAATTTTGGAAAAAAATGTAAGAATTTCAAATTAAGAATTTACCCAGGTCGTACTTAAATTAAATTAAAGAACAATGTAATCAAATTAAGAATTTTGTTTGGCCCCTGTTAGAGGTGATGGTGGAGGGATACTTTTAAAGTGATTTGTCTTCTATAAATACCTGTGTTTTTTTTTTTCTTTTTCTTTAGTGGTTTGTTCCATGGAAGAACAAATAAAAAGGATAAAAAAAAAGAGAGCATAAGCTTAGAATTGAAGCTGAATTTTGTGAGGTGTTTAATGAATTTGGAGAAGTGATTGGAATGGGAGGGTGGTTTGGAAATGGCAATGCCCAATGGGTATGAGTTGATTGGTACCTTTGCGGTGAAACTGAAGCACATTTTTGCTTTTCTAAATCTTTGGAACATATACTCTACTTTTTCTATAAATATTCAATTCTTTTTATATGGACATCATAGATTTGGCTCCTTATAAACTTAAATCGCCACATTTCATTGATTGATTTTTATAAATAAAATCTAAGTTAAATTACAAACTTAATTGTTGAGAATTTAATTTCTATGATTCTACAAAAAAAATTAATAAAATCTCGGCTGTCCACCTAATTCTTTGGCCCAATATTTGATCCGAAGTCAAGGGCCCAATACTTGATCCGAAGTCAAGGGCCCAATATTTGATCCAAACTCAAGACGAAACTCACTTCCTTTCGCCTTCTCTTTCTCCTACTCCTCCAGTTCTGCGGTCCCTTCCGTCTCCCGAGACCGAGGGGCTCCCTGTTTAATTCTCTTCGTCGCTTCTGGTTTCATAATTCGCGGGAGAGAATTCCCAGCTTCGTTTGTTCTTGAATTTCGTGGAAGCTTTCACCCGCTCTTTCCTTCTTGTTTTTGTTGGGAGAGAATCCTCCATGGGGGTTTCATCAGAGACCAAGTTCTTGCAGGAACTCATACTCTACGCAGCCAGTGCCGCTTTAAGTTGTTTGGTATTGTTCGCAGGCCTTCGACACCTTGACCCCAACCGTGAGGCTTCAAAGAAAGCTCTTGAGCATAAGAAGGAGATAGCCAAACGCTTGGGCCGCCCACTTATTGAGACTAACCCTTATGAGGTACCTGTTTCGTTCTTTCTGATCGAGGAAAAAGAAATGAATGCAACAAAGTAGCTTCTTTATTGTTCTAAACGGAAACCCGACATTTATTTCCATCTTTGTTATCATTTATCTTTGCAGCTTCCTGTAGAGGACTAGCTTGTTTTAAATGTTCTATGATCGTTTCTATTCATTACTCGAGGTTCTTGTTAGATTGTTTGCACTTGACGTATGGGCTGTGGGTTCGGTCCAAAATCTCACGTCTAGTAAATGTCTTCTACTATTTTATGTGTAAGAAGTTTGCTTTCTTGCATATATTTGTTCATGGGATTGATGTGCCGATTATGGTGTGAAATTTACTGCATAGTCTAGGAAAAGGTGATAATTAACGGAAGAATGTGTACTGTTTAAGCTCAATGCACGTGAATTCATGATGCGTGAATCTTTACTTTAACTTGGAATTCATAATACTACCCATTCTGATTTGAATCCCTTGATCGTTATCGTTTCTCCCTAATCATTTTTCTTTCTACAGGATGTCATTGCCTGTGATGTTATAAATCCCGATCACATCGATGTGGAATTTAACTCTATTGGAGGATTGGAGACTATCAAGCAAGCATTATATGAACTTGTGATACTTCCTCTTAAGAGACCTGAGTTATTTTCACGCGGGAAGCTTTTAGGACCCCAGAAAGGCGTATTGCTTTATGGGCCACCTGGTACAGGAAAAACTATGCTTGCAAAAGCTATTGCAAAGGAGTCCGGAGCAGTTTTTATTAATGTTAGGATTTCAAATCTGATGAGCAAGTGGTTTGGTGATGCACAGAAGCTTGGTAAGCTCGAAAGTTTTAGATCATTCTTTAACCACATTCTTGGCTCAAGGTTTTCCTTGCTCATTCTAGAAAAATATGCTTTATTATGTGAGTATTGCTTCAACTTTATGGCGTAGTTTGCAACAAGCTAGCTAGGTTACACGGTCAAGATGAACGAACAATTTAGATCCTTAAATGCTGTTTTCATCATGCTTTGTAGTGAGATTTGCTTAATATATATATTGTTGGTTCAAGTGATTTTCTTTAATGAGCTCTGAAGCTTACCGAAAAAAAAGACCTTCCAATTAATTGCATCTAATTCATAAGTTTTGTATTATCAAATTATTCAAAGAATAAATTACAATCTAAGAACTGCACTCCTTGTAGCTGGTATGGTAAAAAAGATTATTTTAGTTGTGATCAGGCCATGTAAGTTGGAAGTGTGTATATGATGTGGAATCTAGTTTGTTCTCCAATATTGATGCAGAACAAAACTAGAAACCGGGAATCAATTATTATTATAAAACAATACCCTTATCTGCTTCTATATGGAAACTCATTGTAGTTTTGCTTATTTTAGGTGTTGGTTTTTTATTGATTGTTGAGATAAAAATTGTAATCATACTTAGTTTTGATGATTTGATTGCCTTATATGTCATGACTAAGAAATCATAGCAATGGCTGTGACTTTGTCACCTATTGCTGAATTATAGCTGTCCAACGCTTTTTTTTTTTTTTGTCTCTCCCTATTATTAAGTTAGGCATCAATGTAATTGGGACTAAAAGTAGGAGTCCTAACCCTCTTTGCATTGTGAGAGGATCTAAAATTAGACATTAAATGTATCAGGAAGTTGTTTACTGTCATCACCCTCTTTCCCTCCCCCACAGCCATACAGCCTCTATTTTATTGCACTACATCCCCTCAAATATACCCACCATTTTTCTAATTGTTCTTCTCACTCCCCTTGATCTACAAGCGAGGCCTTCGTACCCACACTAGTTTTTGGGTCCTGTCTCCTTTTGTTTGCCAATCTCCTTCCATGGGGGAAAAAAAAAAACTTCAGACCTTTTTATATAGCCTTTTGTGCTTTTGTCAGCATTCTTTAGCATGGTTGTCAACATTCAATCGTCTACTTAGGATTGTGAGTGTTTGATATCTTCTGTATAGGTTTCATTTTTTTCTGTCCAGGTTCGACTTGCCTTTTTCCTCTAGTTTCTACTCAAACATCATTGTTGCTTGGAATTTTATTACTTTCATTTGTTACTTCCATTCATCAATCTTTAGGACCTGATTGTCCTAACTTAGTATTAATATATATTTTTAACCTATTTTTGAATCTCTTTTATCACCAGGATGCATTAATTCCTGAGTTAATTTTAGCAGTAAGCTTTGCACTTCTAGTAGAAATTCCATATGAAATCTATGGCGAGAATGAATGCTCCAATACCTATTTGATGGGAATAGAAAATGGAAGGGAAAATTAATAGAAAATGTTGTTATATGAGAAAGGGAATTTACAATATTCAAGCATTTGAGAAGCTAGAACTCTCCCAATAAAACAACTCCCAAAGATTTAGTTACCATCCCAACACAATCGCATGTCAGAGCAGCAACCACCATCGCAAAGACCAAGACATAAAGGATAACTTAGAGAATAGGCACTATACTAGAAATTTTATTGCTAACTGGAGGTTTTTTCATCCCGTTTATTGTTATGTCAGGTTTATGTTCTGGTTTGCAGAATGACATTGGTGCTGCATTTATATTATTATGACTCAGGTTTTGTATTATTCTGTTACTTGATCAACTATCCTTCTGATGGTAATTACTAGTGTTATGGAAGTATACAATATTCAAGTGCTGAGTAAGCTTTTCAAGGCATGAGGCAATCAATCCCTTATGCAACATGATTTTTGCTTGCCAGGAAGAAACGCAGAAGTTCCTCATCTGAGTAAAGAGAGGCACGTTAAAATTAACTGAAAAAACAGTTATATGTTGATGGCAGGGGATGCGATCAATGAATGGATCAAGGAGGCTTTATTCATGTCATCCTATATTAAGGAAGAAGCCCACCGGGGATGACTTGCTTTTGCTCTGCGTAAAAGTAGAATATTGTGTAGCCGTGTATGGCCTATGAAATACACAATTAGGTGTATATATATCTTCAGTGACAATATAGCAATTAAATGCATAAGAATACTATGTCTACTTTGAATTGATTATTGCATTAAAAAATTATATAATTGACCATAATCAGACACAAATGCTATTTTGTCCTTTGTTGCCTTGATATTCTAACTCATATGATGTATTATTTTGCAGTGGCTGCTGTGTTTAGCTTGGCTTATAAACTTCAGCCTTCTATTATCTTTATTGATGAGGTCGACAGTTTCTTGAGTCAACGACGCTCTAGTGATCATGAAGCTTTGTCAAACATGAAAACTGAGTTTATGGCTTTGTGGGATGGATTTACCACAGACCGTGAGTTTCTAGGACTATTGATTTTTTTTTAAGTGATAGTTGGTGTGCTTTTATAGTTCTTCACGAAAATTAACATTTAAAAATTGAGATAAAAGAAGGAAATATTCTTGTCTGTTAATATCTTGGCCGTGACCCTTTTTTTAATATCTAATTTGCTATACTCGTTTTTTGGATAAGCTCTTTCTTGATGAATTCTATTCTGGTTCTACAGAGAATGCACGCGTAATGGTCCTTGCTGCTACCAATCGTCCTTCAGAACTTGATGAAGCAATTTTAAGACGACTTCCTCAGGCATTTGAAATTGGGATACCTAACAATCGGGAGAGGGCTGAGATACTAAAGGTGATTTTGAAGGGTGAGAGGGTTGAAGACAACGTTGACTATGATCACATAGCTAACTTATGCGAGGGGTATACTGGTTCAGATCTTCTTGAGCTCTGCAAGAAAGCGGCATATTTCCCAATCAGGGATCTACTGGATGAAGAAAAGGAAGGAAAACAATCTAATGTAAGTTATCATCAACCTCGTTTGCCTTGTTTCTGATGTTTCATCTGCCAGCCTTGGTCAACGTTTCTATTTGAATCAGTGTTAAAGTATTGAGTATCCTTTGGATTGGAAGTGTTATTTATATTCTAAATTTGAGCGGTCTTGCAATATTCTTCTTGACCATTTTTTGGACGTTACTCAGTTTCTTTCACGTGATTACTTTTCAGTCACCGAGGCCACTGTCACAGTCAGATTTGGAGACCGCTCTCTTCTCATCGAGAAAGACAAAGGTTGTTGCTAGTGAGTACGCTGGATTAGGGTCGCAACAGACAGAACTGAGTGATTCTCATATTCGAGCAGTGTTGAGCAAGTTCTCAAAGTTTGGCATTTCTCCAGAAAATGTTGGATCAGCCGAAGATGACTCTTGAGAGAGATCCCGACTCTTCTCCACATTGGTGAAGAAAAAAAGACGACCGTGGGGAGGGAGAGGTTTCTGTTTCATTTATTACATTAACGCCATAGTTTTAACATTGATGATTCTATAATCGTTACAAGGAAAAGCCACGGAAATACGTAGCCTTGTTGATGAGTTTGAATAGCTTTGTTTTTTAATACCATATCATGTATTGGAGAGTCATTTTTGGACTATTGTGTCTAAATACTATTGAGTTATTGCTCTGGTGCAATTCCTCTCATTCTCTCTCAATTAACTCTTGAAATTATCAATATTCAGGGATGGAATGTTCAAAGGCTTAGAATGTCAAAAGGTTTGCAACATCCTCATTTGATACCTTGCTCTTCGGAAACTACAGGCAATCCTTCTTTGAACCAATTGCAGAGACCCCCTTGGATTATCGGGCTCCTTGGTTTGGTCTGAGGGAATTTTTTTTCTCTGTTTGTGTGATAGAGGTGAGTGTAAAGTGATAGGAAGTGTTGAGGAGAATACGGTAGGGGAGAGTTGGAGAATAGGGTGGCAAGAAGACGAAGTTAGGGGAGTGAGGCGAAAACAGCCATGTTTTTGGAGCATCCTCCACGGAAATCAGCTAACTAAACCAAGGAGAGCAGGGCTAGATATTTGCGAGCTTGTGGGCCAAAGTGACTGTGGTCTTAGATTTCTCATAATCCTCACCCACCTTATGCTTGTTGTCGATATTTTACGTATACCCATTTCGATATACATTTCCTTCATCCTCGGCTTTTCAGCTTTATAGCAACTTTATTGGATAATATTTCTTAGCTGTTCTATAATTTACTAACGGACTCCGGTTGTAGTTTGGTTATATTGTTGGATTAGAAACGCTCATTAGGAAACAAAATGGAAATAATATACCCAAGATGTGAAATAAACATACCTACAAATTAATTTCACATATTCGTCCACTTATTTTTAATTAGACAAAATTAAAATTTCTGCTCTAGAAAGTCTATGGGCTTGGTACATGGGCCATAAGGCCCTCGATTATTTGGGGCTTTAAGAAAAGCATGTAAGCCACTGGAAAACGACATGCCGACTCTGTGACAGAGACGATAGTCGACAAAAAACACTCTTATTTAAATTCATTCCCTACGAATTAACACCCCAAACCCTTCTAACTCCTCACCGATTCTCTGAAATCCGGCGAAAATTATCGATGGCATTATCGAAACCTTCCTTCTTTACGCACCTCAAAACCCTAACCGGACCCCACCATTTGCTCCGGCACCATGCACCGGCTCCTCCCGTCCTCACCCTTCGTTTTCTCTCTTTTGCTACGCCGGAGGAAGCTGCTGCCGAACGACGCCGTCGGAAGCGCCGCCTCCGCATCGAACCTCCTCTCTCTTCCTCCTCTGCTACTCGCCCTCAATCGCAGCCTCCTAAACCTCAATCCCCACAAAACCCTAATGCCCCCAAACTCCCTGAGCATATCTCTGCTCTCTCTGGTAATCGCCTTAACCTCCACAACCGCATTCCCACTCTCATTCGTGACAATGATCTGGAAGAAGCCGCGCTTTTCACCCGCCATCCCATTTACTCCCATTGTTGACCCATTGACAAAACACGTCGAAGGGATGGATCACCAAAGTTTTAGACGCAATTGCAATTTTGCAAGGAGTGGGCACAGATTTAGTTGGCCAAATAAAATGCAGTTCGACAATTTCCCCTAATAGAATGAGCTAACTTATCAACAAACAAGTTGAATAGCTCAAGTGGTTAGAGCATTGATCTAACAACACACAGGTCTCAGGTTCGGTTCGAGTAGAAGAAAATGCAAAGTGTAAAAATATACACATCGTGGGCCGGGCAAGTTCACTCACTCCTCCATGCCCAGCGAGACGTATTTGGATTGTCTTAAGCCGGATACGGCAATGGAACACTATAAGCAGGTTGATCAATGATGCTTCTTTCAACCCGTCTGGAGAGGGCAATGGAGCTGAAAGAGGATATGACTGTGAAAGGTTTCGTTCCAGACCCTATTATTTATCATTATCTGATGGTGGGCTGCCTGAAAAATTCGGATCCCGATGGAGTTTTTAAGCTATTTGAAGAATTGAAGGAGAAATTAGGTGGGGCTGTGGAAGATGGAGTTGTTTATGGAAGCTTGATAAAGGGGTACTTTATAAGAGGAATGGAGGTGGAAGCAATGAAATTTTATGAGCAGACTGTGGGTGTTAATTCAGAAGTTAAGATGAGCGCCATTGCGTACAATTCTGTGCTTGATGCGTTATGCAAGAATGGAAAGTTTGATGAGGCCTTGGTGTTGTTTGATAGGATGATAAAGGAGCACAGTCCGCCCAGGCGTTTGACATTGAACTTGGGAAGCTTTAATGTGATAGTTGATGGATACTGCACAGAAGGGAGATTCAGAGATGCCATTGAAATATTCGAGAAGGTGGGTGATTATAGGTGTAGCCCAGATACTTTATCATTCAATAATTTGATCGAACAATTTTGTAATAATGGAATGTTGGCTGAAGCCGAGGAGCTCTATGGATCGATGGGTGATAAGGGAGTCAGCCCTGACGAGTTTACTTATGGCTTGTTGATGGATTATTGCTTTAAAGGGAACAGGCCAGATGATGCAGCTGGATATTTTAGAAAAATGGTAGAGTCCGGACTAAGACCCAATATAGTAGTTTATAATAGATTGGTAGATGAGTTGGTCAAATTAGGGAAAATTGAGGAAGCAATTTCTTACTTTGACACGATGGTGAAGAAGATCAAAATGGATGCCTCAAGCTATCGTTTTATAATGAAGGCGTTAAGCGAATCCGGGAAAGTAGATGAAATACTAAATGTGGTCAATACTCTTCTGGATGACGATGGGATTGAATTTACTGAAGAGATGCAGGAGTTTGTAAGAGGTGAGCTGAGGAAGGAAGGCAGAGAAGGGGATTTAGCTAAACTTATGGAAGAGAAAGAAAGAGTGAAAGCTGAAGCGAAGGCGGCAGAGGCACAGAAGAGAAGGCTAAAGCTGCGGTCTCTTCTTTACTGTCATCCAAGTTGTTTGGGAACAAGGAAGGTGAGAAGGAATCTGCCGAGAACGAAATGCAATCTGGTCAGGAAGACAGTGGTAAAACTGCACTTGCGGAATCTAACCCTTGAAGTTGCACAGTACAGGAAAAAGTAAGAAGCGAGGATTAGATTGTGTGAGCCCCTTTTTTGTTTTTGTTAATTCTATTATTTGTTTTGCTCCATTACATGGGAACGTGATCTGCTTTCCGTTTCTCCTAACCAATTAGGCACCAATTAGGCAAGAGTTAGAACCTGTTTAGTTTAGTTGTCCATTTTATCCTGTATCTGTAACATTTTTGCTTCTAATGTCAATCTAATCTGTCAGAGCTTCCACTGATTCGACGGAGAATCATTCGTGGGTTCCTATTAAGATAACCCCTTTATCTTTACGCCTGAAGTAATCTCTTTTATAGGACGGCGAAAGCAAGGATCCACGCAAATCCTCTTACAAGTTGGTGAATGTTACAACTTTAGCAAACATCTCTCATTGAAAGATCAAGAATTATTAGTGAATGTTACAACTTTAGCAAACATCTCTCATTGAAAGATCAAGAATTATCAGCATCATCGGTACTTTACAATTAAAAAATCACCCGTTACAATATATGAGGAAAGGTAAGAATAGGTACAAAGCGAAGCAGTGTCCACACACCCGAAGAGGCAGGCATTGTGCAGCATTTCACTTTTAGCTACAAAGGTTCGGTATGCAGGCTCCAGCATCTGGGTTTTGTTCCTTCCATATCCTACCTGTAACTCTTAGCTTCAGTTCCTTTCTATCCCCGCCTGAGAAGAAAAGAGCCATATTTCTTTGAATAATTAATCCATCGTGGCTGTCCCTGACTTTTTGATGACTATCTCGAATACTTCGTGGTGTACCCTCCCATATCAGTTTTCGCCCATATCCACCAACTTCGAGACTGTAGCTGTAGGTTCGTGCCTCATTCTCATCTCCCATGAATCGAAGGAAAGCCATGTAGACTGGGGCCATGCCAAGCTGAAAGGCTTCAAAGTGAAGGCAGAAACATTGACCGAAACAATGAAAAACCTGCACAATGTGAGGAGCAAGCCAAAAGAAACAAGGATTAATCTGAAGTATGGAGTAAAACAAGGTTAAGGTCAAAGTAACATAAAATAAAAGAGAATGATCCAAGACAAGTTTACCCATCATCAATACCTTTTTCACATCATCAACCAAATCTATGGACCAACTTTGATGGTTTATATAACTTGCAGCTTGCTATGTATTAATGTACTTTAAATCATCTTTCGTTTGTTTTCAACAAGTAGGAGTCTTCTGGATTGGGTTTGAAACCCCTCACCCTACCTTTAGTAGCTTCCAAGTTATATAATAAATACATAAATACAAATTTTACATAGACATACACAGGTGTGCATATAATATTTATATCACAGATAAGGAAAAATTAGGAGGATACACGAAGTTATACCCAAGACAGAGCAAATGAATTCACTTAGGGGTTGAGGTCAAATATATGAGACTTACAGTAAGCATCCAAGTGGCATTCTCCACTTCCCTTGGATTGGATTTCACATAGCGATGGTTAAATGTGCATCCAGTGTGCATGTCCACCTTGTGATCGTCCCTCAGATGGGCGACAAGAAAGGGAATATCCCCAACAGCAGAGCATTCCGAACCAGCATACGGGCAACTATAGGGTCTGAAGTTGCATAAAGCCTCATGCTTAAGTTTACTATAGTACGGAAATATCTCAGGGCATCCCAGGGAATAATACTTGCAAGGCAATTCAAGCGACTCTGCCACCTTCTCCAGTGCTAAGCACCTAATATCTCCAAGCTCTTGTCTACAAGTAGGGCAGCGATTATGAACCCGTGTTTTACAAGTATAACACAAGGTATGTCCATTGTGGCACTGCAACATTTAGTTGGTCATACAGTTAACCAACATTGAATATGTATGTACAATAAAATATACATCTGATGGAAAAACAGTATATTTCCTAGAAAATTATTGGAATACAACATGCATATTCTCAACTGCTTTCATTCTGATCTGATGGTACAGATGATATACACAGAGAGAAAGCTATGATGATGGAAACGACACCCAAGGGAAGCAAGGGGAAAATTAAATTTTCATCAGCCTACCGAAGTAATGTTTCCTCAGCAAATTGGTAGAAACTACAAGCATCTTATGCTATAAATATTGGGTTTTGAGGACAAACGGGGCAAGTATTAATCTAATCTCTGTTGGACAATCTTAGAGCTAGAAAACCTTAATAAGAAAGAGAGTTTAATGAGTATACAGACAACAACATACAATAACCCAAACACTAAGATAAGTTATTTTCTAGCACACAGGAATTTTGAAACCAGCATTCCAGAATCCCCCAAATTTTCAAGACCAACGCAACAGCGACGTTTTCAGGATTTCTTTTATTTTCAAAAGTAACGTCCATTACATGTCTCAGCGTAAACATCACCTGCAATATAAATTTTCTGAATTCTTTCAGGAAATAAGAATAAAAGCAATGAACATCGCCATATAAGATCTTCGGGCAGCAAACGTACATAGAAAAGATCATATCGGAAACTCTAATATGCACTACAATCTCGCCTTACTTTTTCAGTTGATACAGCACTCCATATGCGCAATAAGATAGACTGACTAGTACAAGCAATTATGTTTAAAGAAATAGGCAGTTATCTCCCCCACAAATGGTAAGGAAGAGAAGAAAATAAGGCATTCTCGGAGTAGTTCCTTGCAAAGAACTAGTTCTGACACCATCCACATTCACTTACTTATCGCAGAGAGTACCAGCATACAATGCCCCGCAACATCCAACAACAAGTTCATCGATCAGCACTAATCCAAAAACCCAGCAGGAGAAAAAAAACCATTTCATACCAAACTCAATAATCCAAATTTGGGGGGTGGAGAGCCATATAATCTCCATTCCGGAAGAAATTAGGGCAATGAACACAAACCTGATGGATGGGAGGGTACATAGAATTAGTGCAGACAGGGCATTCGAGCAATTCATGGACGCTAGTCGACGGCGCAGTGGCAGTGGGAGCGTTCACAGCGCTGTTGTTGTTACCATTACGAGGCTTCGATGCTGACAACTCGGGGTGATGATGAGAGTGGGAATAAGGATGAAGAGTGTGGTGCAAATGGATGTCATCCTCATCGAGACCATCGGACGACGAGACACACTCGATACTATCCGAATCCATTTACAAAACAGAAAAGCGACGGAGCTGAAGAAGAACCCAATTGTCTAAATCCAGAATCAATCAAGATCTCAGAGAAATTTCAGGATTCCCCTCTTCAATAGTTTCCCCACTCACTCCAAATTTCTCCAGAGAGTGGGATTTAAGCAAAGAATGAAAAGAGGGGGGAAAAAGGAAGGGGTAAGACTGATGGATTCCAAGGAATCAAAAAACCCTTTTACCCGAAAGATGAGGTTCTTTTCTTCGACTAGCTACCCCCTGCGTTCTGTTGTTCCTCTCTTCATAGATCATCTCTGAAATGCAAGTGAGAGAGAGAGAGAGCGAATCCAAAATGGGGATTATTGAAAGACCAACGAATTATACATATATATATATGTAGATAATAAATTAGAAAAATTGAGCATTTTCTTAAATCTGTATTGAGTTGAGTTGGGATGTTTTATATAGCATGCCATGGTCCATTGATGTAAAACAATTTACCAAAATATTAAAAGTGAAATACATTTGATAAACAGGTGGGTTTAGAATTAAATTATTTAGATATTTAATTAATGTAGGGTGTCTATCCTGCTGTAGACAATAATTAATGCAGTGTTTTACTCCTAGCACAACAATTATTGTTTACTCTATTTACAGAAGTGGATAACAAAAAAAAAGAACAAAAGAATCCACTGATGTGTATAGAGTTGCAAAGCAAACATCCACTACAACTTAATCTTTGGAAGATGGATAATAATTATGAATATCACTGCTACTTAACAGCAACTCGTCCATTACAATGTAATACCACCAAACCAGCAAAGCTCAAAACAGAGAGAGAGAGAGAGAGAGAGAGAGAGATTAGGTACAAACAAAGCACAGCAGCTGCACAACACACAACATTCAGAATGCTTTTCTTTAGCTACACAGGTTGGGTATGCAGACCCCAGCATCCGGGTTTTGTTCCTTCCATATCCTTCCCGTAACTCTCAGCTTCAGTTCCTTCCTATCCCCACCCGAGAAGAACAGAGCCATATTTCTTTGAATCATCAGCCCATCATGGCTATCCCTCACTTTTCGATGGCTATCTCTGATACTTCGCGGGGTGCCCTCCCATATCAGTTTTCGCCCATATCCACCCACCTCCAGACTGTAGCTGTAGGTTCGCGCCTCATTCTCGTCGCCCATGAAACGAAGGAAAGCCATATACACTGGGGCCATCCCAAGCTGAAAGGCTTCAAAGTGAAGGCAGAAGTATTGACCGAAACAATGAAAAACCTGCAAAATCAGACAGAGCAACAACCCGCAAGAAACAAGATCAAACTAAAACTTGCATTGCAACTTCATAAGAAAAAATTGTGAACCATCTTCAATGGTTTATGAAACTTAGAACTTGTAACAGGCTATATGCTACCAATGATTTTTCTCATCATACATCAATTGCTATTGACTATTAGAAATCTTATTCTAATCTCTCCCTAACTTGTAACATGCTATATACTACCAATGAATTTTCTCATCATACATCAATTGCTATTGAGTATTAGAAATCTTATTCTAATCTCTCCCTAATAGCTTGATTGGGTTTGTTATCCTAGCCCTCATACATCTGAACCCACGTGCATGTGTATGATAAAACAATTTCTACCAAAGAAAAAAAAAAAAAAAAAAAAAAAAAC